TATTTCATTAATTATTTTATTCCATGTCTCGACTGTTACATGCTTTAATTACTTCCTATGCCTTAACTTGCTACTTGTCACTTATTTCTCTAGTATTAAAATGTTAGTTTCTTCCATGCTTCCATGATTAATTGCTACTTACCTTAATTATCTTACTTGTACATTTTAATTGTCATATATTTGGCTTGCTTTGTTGCTTAGTATTACTTGTAGCATTTCTTGATTTGGTACAAGGGTCGTATGAGGCTTTACTTTCATATTTCTTTAATCGTAGAGATTCTTGTGATACAAGTTGTTAAATTGATTGCACTTAATGATTTTGTTTATGGATCGGGTTGCACGCCACAACAGGTAAAATAATGGAGGATTGATATTGATATGGTGGGATCGGATTGCACGCCGCAATAGGTGAAATAAAGGAGGATTGATATTGATATGGAGGAATAAAGGAGGATTATGATATAGATTCTGATTATATGGTGGGATCGGGTTGTGCGCCGCAATGGATTTCTTATATGTTATTCTAGTTATTGATATGGTAAAATAAGGGAGAATTGTATTTGTACGGTGGGATCGGGTTGCACGCCGCAACAGATTGTGTGTTTTGTATTCATTGTTGTATTGTGTTTGTTTTCGATTCTTTCATACGAGATTGTGAGTACTGGCAAATTCTGGCTTTCACCGATTCCGAGGATTAAGTTTATTTTCAAAAGTTAATTGCTTTATTTTTCCTGTGTTTCTTTATTATTATTATTATTATTATTATTATTATTATTATTATTATTATTATTATTATTATTATTATTATTATTATTATTATTATTATTATAATAATAATAATACTGCGTACAAGTTATTGTAAGTGACCCGCCTTAGACTCGTCACTACTTCATCGAGGTTAGGCTCGACACTTATAGAATATATGGGATCGGTTGTACTCATACTACACTCTGCACTTCTTGTGCAGATTTTGGAGTCGGTCTTAGTGGCAATCAGTAGATTGCTCGGATTGATTGCCAGATTGGAGACTTGAGGTACGGTTGCTCGGCGTTCTCTGCCCTGAAGTCCCCTTCTATCTTATCCTAGCTGTTTATTTCAGTTTAGACAGTTTTACTTTCATTCAGACCATTATCTGTATTATTCTAGTCGCTCGTGCACTTGTGATACCAGTTCTGGGATTGTATCTAGATATTGCAGTTATTCTAGTTTTTCTCACTTTATTTCAGTTATATTTTGGTTTATTCAATTTAATTGGTATCAGCTAATTTGTTTTGTTAAAAATGGATATAAACTATTCTATCATTGGCTTGCCTAGCAAGTGAAATATTAGGCGTCATCACGGTCCAGAGGGTGAGAATTTCGAGTCGTGACAAGTTGGTAGCAGAGCACTAGGTTGCCTAGGTCTCACAAGTCATGAGCAAGCTTAGTAGAGTCTAGAGATCGGTGCGGAGACGTCTGTACTTATATTCTCGAGGCTATGGAGTTTAGGAACAATTTCACTTCTTTCTTTCTCTGTGGTGTGATTTTATTCTATCATTTGATGATTTAACCATTCTATTCTTGTTCTCTCACAGATGGCGAGAACACGCATTGAATCTACAGTCAGACAGGAGTCGGAGCCCCCTGTGGCAGCTACTACCAGGGACAGAGGCCGAGGCTGAGGTCGCGCCAGAGGCGAGGCAGGGTTTAGCCTAGAGCTCAAGTAGCAGCACCCGCAATGGAGCCTCAGGTAGATTTTGAGGTGGAGGTTCCAGCTCAAACTGTACCCGTCGGACCAGCTCAGGTCCCGGAGGGGTTCATAGCCACTCTAGTGCTTCAGGATGCTCTGGTCTGTTTGGTGGGCCTTATGTAGAGTGTGGCCCAGACCATTACATTTTCGGTGGCACCAGCCGTCTCTTGGGCAGGGGGAGGAGCACAAACTCCCACTACTCACACCCCGGAGCAGGTGGCTCCCCAGTATCAGACTCTAGCATCCCTGCCATTTGGGGTGGTTCAGCCGGCTGTTGAGGCGCAGGACGGTGATAGGCCTGCCATATCTTCTGAGGCCCTGTTGAGGTTGGATACGTTTACCAAGCTCTCCCTATTCACTTCAGTGGTGCACCTTCTGAGGACCCACATGATTATCTAGACCGCTGCCATGAGGTGCTGTGGAACATGGGCATAATTGAGACCAATGGGGTCGATTTTGTAGCATTTCAGAGGGAGAGAGTGAGGTGATTTATTGATGGGCTCACTTACACTATCAGGCTAAAGATGGCCAAGGAGATCGGGAGTGATATTTCTTTCTAGATGACCGTAGATATTGCTAGACGGATCGAGATGGTTCGTGCTCAGGAGAGAGGGCCGGTATCAGATAAGAGGACTCGTCATTCCGGTAGTTTCAGTAGTGCCTCATCTTGAGGCAGGGGCACTTTTGGTAGAGGCTATCCTCCCAGGCCATTTAATTCAGCGCTTCAAGCATCTCACAGTGCTTCAGGGAGTCGTGATCCTTATGTGCCTCATTCTGGGCAGCCAACCTATAGTGCACCATCAGCTCCTATCGGTGCGCCTCTGATTCAAAGCTATCACCGAGGTTACCGGCCTGTACGAGTCAGCTTCAGCTTCAGCGGCCACAACAGGATGGGTGTTTTGAGTGTGGTGGTATTGGTCACATCAGGAGGTTCTGTCCGTGATTGTTGGGCGGAATGCCACATCAAAGTTCTCGTGCCATGGTCCAAAGCATTTGAAGAGTTAAAATATTCTTTGAATATTGAACATACGGCCTTAGCCTTTTTTACATAACAAAACATATATCAAAAATTTAATTGGGAGCACCTATTACGAAGAACATTAATATCAACTTTGATAAAAAGGTGTAATTTTCCACACTGTCTAAAAGGCTTGTGTCATTGATGTAAACAAGGTTTAATCCGTATCATACATTAATCAATTCACACTATTAATATTACTTGTCGAAATTTCCATTGAAAATATATTTCTTAGTATGTCTGTCCATACCATGTCAATGGCAATCACAAGAGGAACTACCAAAAGTCTTTATCCTTTCAAAAAGTTTCTTCGTGGCTCCTTTTGCTAGTGCATTCGCCCTGTGGATTTGTTCCCCATAGCTATGTGCAACGCTTGTGGTCCCTAGCATCATCATCAATGATATATAAGTATATATCATTTTCATTCTGTAGAATATTGATTACCTCAGTGGAGTCTACACATTTATCTCTAGCGAAGATAGTGAATTTTCTACCGAAATCTTATATCCTTGCATAAGTGCCAATTATAGTTCAGCTAGAATGTTAGTATTGTTTGGGATACATTTCATGAAACACCAGTCGCCCCTGCTATTTCTGATAACTCCCCCATCCCCCTATTCCGGGTTGCCTAGTGGAGAGCCATCCGTATTGAGCTTGTAATAATCTCTTAAGGATGCATGGTTCCCATTTAACGTGAGGGTACTAGGCTTAGAAATTAAGGCAAATTCCGCAGATTTAGAAATTGTGTTTAAAACTTTAGCCTTTTCATTCTTTATGATTAAAGACACTATCACTCCGGCATACTAAATATGCCATAGGCAGAAAGGGTTATATCGACCCAAGAAAGGTAGTCACTGTATTCCTAACTCTTGATGTTAATTCCAAGTTGTGTCCCAAGAGTTTAAAGAAAAAACAATAGGGGCAGTCATAGGAGTTTTAGAGTTAAAGACCGTAATATCTTTCCAAAAGTTTTGTGCTTTTTGGAAATCAAAGAAAATAGTTCACAACATGAATTATATACGAACGTGCATCACAGCTTGAAGCAATATTACAACATAGTCTGTGTTGTGGTTAATGAGAATACAATAAATACATACTTTTTGAAGTGTAAATCTTTGTGTGCATGTTGCATTTTACGTGTTGAATTTTTTTATGTTAAAGCTTTCAAATATAGTGTTGATTGCGTAAGTCAAGAACTCTCTTGATAAAAGGGCCATCTTGTTTAATTTGACAGAATTTTGCTCTAATTTTTAAGAGATATATATTGTCTCACGTCAGATTTATACTTCAGTAGAAAATACAAAGAACCATCGAGTAGTTATTATTTTTAGTTTTAATTTTTTTATTTTGTAGTATAACATATGTTGGCCCGAAATGAGCTTAAATGGAGAAATATGATCAGTGATAATTCATGTATAACCAACCACAACTTGTTTAAGACCGTAGTTATTATTCTTGCATTTGCTATTTATCACGTTAGGTTTAGAAGGGCGTTTTATGAGGTTTAAAAAGATTAATGTTATTCGATAAATTATGCGTAGATTTTAGGGTTTGTCGTACAAATTTCTTTCACTTGCCATACGTATTACGATTAGGATTTAAGAGTTTGTAATGGCTCAAAATTACTCTCTAATTATCTTAAGATTTTATATTAAATTTCTCGAAAACAATTATACTATATGACAAAGAATAAATATTTTAACATATTTAAAGCTTATAATGGAATGCCTTTTACCTAGCAAGACAATATAAGAACATAAGAAGATATCCATATAAAAAACTTAGAATGCACGAGCACAATAGGGGGGAAAACTTTACTTCACAAATTGCCATCTTTTTATATATGAACATACTAAAACTTATACCATAAAAGAATGGCGGGCAACAAAACTTTTCCCACCCCCGCATAAAAGGCACTCATTATATTTATTACTTTTCTTTAACTTCTAAACAAAATAATAATTGGTGGCCTAAATGCAATCCAATAACATAATTCTAATAAGGTAAATTATGTATTGTCTAATTATGAACATTTAGGATTAGCACTAACTATTATAGAAATGGAACAAAAAATGGGCCCCGGATTACTTTCAAATCCTTCTAGAAAAGGAATTAACATAAAAATGTTTGATTCCGTCGTTATTTGAATTCATTTCCAATCAAACAATGAAATAATTTTACAGCTATAAATAAACTCTTAGTGGTGAGACCCAAAACCACCTTCTCTTAGTTTCTCAAATCATAAGTTTTGCCATGGGAAGAAAGAGTAACGGTCGCAAAAAAATTGACATGGTGAAGATACAAAACGAGAGAAACTTACAAGTGAGTTTCTCCAAGCGACGAATTGGCCTCTTCAAGAAGGCTAGTGAACTTTGTACACTAAGTGGTGCTGAAGTTGCCTTAGTGGGTTTTTCCCCCGGAAACAAAGTTTACTCATTTGGCCACCCTTCTGTGGATTTGATCATGGATAGGTTCCTCGCAGAGAACCCTCAACCCAATGCTAATGTTGGTGAGGTCAATATGGAAGAGTTGATCGACAAAGAGGGGATATTGGAAATGGAGAGAAGCCGCGGAAAAGACTTACAAAGAACCTGGAGGGAGGAGCGTTGGTCGGAAGCTCCAATTGAAGAGCTAAACTTTTTTCAACTTCAACAAATGGCAGAGGCAATGGAAATGACAAAAGGTGCATGGTATTGCATTTCCATATCGTACCCTTGGAAGTGCCTTGGCTCCTTATGGGGGGGCTAGGGCGAGCTTTTCGTATGGCTCCAATGCTAGGGCATCTGAATTTCGTGACTAGCTAGCTCTTTCTATTCAACACTAAATAAGGCTCCATGATTCACCTTTGGTGTTATTAGGGCAAATGAATCTTCTTCAATTCAATAGTTCTCTAGTAGTTCAACTATCACAATTGTCGTTTTGTTTTAAATATTTATAGTGATCTTATAAAGACATAATTGATGTAGATTTTATCCACATGGTTAGCAATAGCTCAATCAGTGTGGATAAACTATCAATTAAGTTTGTATTATTTATGGTTTTAATCTTATTTTAAACTAGTGAATTTGTCGCTCTTTGCACGGTCATAAAAATAAATTAGTGTACTTCAAAAAGTCCTTTATAATTTTGATTCNCCTTATGGGGGGGCTAGGGCGAGCTTTTCGTATGGCTCCAATGCTAGGGCATCTGAATTTCGTGGCTAGCTCTTCCCATTTCAAAACAAGGCTCTAGGATTCACCTTTGGTTCTAATAAGGCCAGTGGATCTACTTCAATTTAATAGTTCTTTAGTAGTTCAACTGTCATAATCGTCGTTTTGTTTCAAATAATTGTAGTTATCTCATATTGACATAATTGATGTAGATTTATCCATATTGTTCGCAATAGTTCGGCGTGGATAAATTATCAATTAAGTTCTTATTATTTACTACCTATGTTTCAGTTTATGTGAACATATTTTCTTTTTGATCCGTTCCAAACAGAATGACCCATTTCTAAATTTGGAAACAATTTTACTTAAACTTACAATTTTACCCTTAATGAGAAGCTTTTATAACCACACATATACTCTGGGCCTCTTTTTGAATTGTATATGACTATAAATTTCAAAAAAGTTTATTTTTTCTTAATTACGTGTCTAGTCAAACAGATTCACATAAATTAGAACGGGGGAGTATGATTTTAATCTTATTTTCAGTGAATGAAATGGTATATATGCCATTTATTTAGTCTGGTATAATCACTCATTGACGTAGAAATTAATATATAAGTGTTGAATGCTAAAGTAGTAAAAGATTAAATTTAAATCTGACAAAGAAGCCATACAAGTTAGCTTGAAGTGTTTATTTACCAAAAAAAAATAACTTGAAGTACAAATGATCTCATTTAAACGAAATAAAAACCTAATGGAGTGCATGTACCTGTATGCATATTATAAAAGAGCAATACATCGATGAGAAACTTTATGCATACGTACAACTACAACAACATTAAGCCTAGTGAAATCCCACAAGTAAAGTTTGGGGAGGGTAAAGTGTATGAAGACCTTATCCTTATTTTATGACGATAGAGAGGTTGTTTCTGAAAGACCCTCGGCTCAAGAGAAGTGAAAATAAAGCAATAAACAGACAGTAGCAATAACAAAGTAATAAGACATGGGCGCAAATGGAGATACGTGCAATAACAGGTATTTCGGAATACGACACAATAAAAATAGAGTCAATCTTGCTGGAAATAATGACACAATGTGAAATAGCAAAGGGGTGGGAATAGCAAAATACAAGACTAGTACTAATACTACTGGGATACCTAGATAAAACTTCAGACTGTCTGTCAACTCACAACCCTAATCCTCGTCCTCCACTCCCTCCTATCGGGGATCATATCCTCGGTAAGCTAAAGTAGCGCCATGTCCTGCCTAATCATCTCACCCGAGTACTTTTTAGGCCTCCCTCTACCCCTCCTCTGACCCGCCATGGTCAACCTCCCTCTGCCTGATGAGAAACATTATACATAAATTAGGAAAATTATTTATATGATAATAACAATGAGGAAAGAAAGATGTCATACAATATGGCCAGAGCTGGATCTAAGCTTTTGGGAAGATGGGTGTACTATTGGGAAGAGGTAGATCCAAGATATAAATTTTATGGGCTCAATCTTTAGTTTTTTCACATACATCTATACTCATCGATGTGTCTGACCTGGAAATTTTGAAAGAATATACCAAACAAAGAAAGAAAGAAAAAGAAAATATACTTAATTAATACGGAAAAGTCAGACCAGAGATGTCCGTCTTGTCGGTGCGCCAAATTCTAGGAATAGAAAAGAAAAAACATTAATATAGACGCAGGGGCATCTCAACGAAGTTGGTAGCCTAAAATCAAATTGTATTAAGAGGCCTATTTCACAAATTTCATATAACAGTGAGACACAAAAGATCTTCTGTTCTAATCAATGGGTCAATTAAACATGAGAAAGTAGCTAAACCAAAGAAACGGAGTTTGAAATTGGAAAGTGAAATCTCAAAGTTATATGAAAAAAAGGAGGAAAAATTAGAATGGAAGAGGAAAATAAATACAAATATACTACTAACAAGACGAAAATTTGTCGCTCTTTACTCACTCATCTGTGCATTCTTAACCAAATAAACAAATCTTAAAATTTGGACTCTTAAGATTAATCGCATAAGATATATAATACATAATAATATAGTATAATATTTTTGGGGCCTCTAGAATTTGGGGCCCAAGGCAATGGCATGAGCAGCCTTACCCTCCCGCAGGCATGTATAGACGTAAGATTCAATTCACAATTTCACTTAGACGTGCACCTAATAACCATCGCATCATATGATACTTGAGCTTGGGTACTCACATATATATATTTGAGTTTTTTTAAAAAAGTATAATATTACTATACATGATCTAGAGAGGGAAGCATTTATGGGTTCAGGCGACCCGAGAACCTCCTTAGACATGGCCGTGAATATGGCACGTGCTAATTCCTTCTATTTGCAATTTTATAAATAAAAAGACTAACTTTTACAAGTTCTTTTGAACTCAATAACAGAATAGAGTCCATGTAGCATTTTGATTTTAAATTATATTATGGACTGTTACTGACTTATAGTGTTTTGTTGAAGTAGTAATAAACAGCAAAAGCTCGTAAAACTTGTGAGAAGTGATAATTATATATACACACTAATACCTTCCACCTAAGCTCGTAAAAAAGAATCATCAGACATTTTTATTTATTTTAATTTATGAGCTACACACATATAATGAAACATATCTTAGCAAATACTTCTTTATAGAAAATATTTCTAGTTTATGTGTTTTTTTATCTGAATAGGTTGCTCTGTCGTGCCCATGACTATTATTGTCAAAATTCTCTAGTCAAAGATTAAAAAAACACTTAGTATAATTTCACCCCATAAATTATGTTATGTAGTAAATACATATGATTGTTGGCTCATTATTTTTCTAAATTGAGACTCTAAAATCCCCAAAGCCTATGATCATACCTATATATTTAAAATTTCAAGAATATTTACCGTTGTTTCCGAGAAATCTCCCACTAAAGTACAGTAGTTATATGATCATAACGACATATTAAAAATTACAAATGCATAAACCTCATTAACTTATCTAATATAGTGTATCAAATAAATAAAATTTTCATATAAAAGTTCGTCTCTACCAAACACCAGAATTTAAAAATTCTTTCATAAAAACATAAAGCTTTGCAAAGATAGATTAACTTAAGCCAATCAATAATTCCTTTATGGAGTATAATCCCCGCCATATACAGAAAGTTGACTAAAGGGACAAAAAAATAATCATATGTACTAATGAGGAAAAAGAATTTAAAACAAGTGAGATAATTCACTTGAACTGATTTAGTTCTGTGCATGTTTTATCTAATTTAATCTTCTTGTCATCATGATTAAACCTTTCTCACTTATTCTTCTTAATCCAAATTCCGAATTGATTTAATACACATAAACCATGATTTTCTAGATTTGCGTCCAATCTTAGAAGAATAGTGTGTAGATGAGACAAATAGGGGGGAAAAGTAGTTGAGAAAAATTAAAGGTGGTAAAGAGTTCTTTCATTCACTCCTCATCATGTGTGATTACAATAAGAATTTATATATTAGGAGTTCCATGATGTATAAGATATCTAAGTCTATAGATATTCAGAGAGCAATATAATACAAGTCCGTATACTATAGGGAACCTAAACCCACAACAAATATATAACTGTAACCAAGATTCTAGTTAGTCTAGGATTATCCTTTACACTCCCCCGCAAGTTGAGCAGGGGTAGGAACCACTGCTAACTTGGTCTTCAACTGCAAGAACCTTCTCTTTGACAAAGGCTTTGTCAATGTATCAGCAACCTGGTCATGGGAGCTTACATATCGAACATATAAGGACTTTGCTCGAACTCTCTCGCGAACAAAATGAAAATCAATTTCCTATGCTTTGTACGAGTATGAAAGATGGGATTAGCTGTCAAATACGTATCACTTAAATTATCACACCATAGAGTAGGAATATAAGAAGAAAAACAACCAATCTCACGAAAAAGATGCCAATTCAAATAATTTCTGAAGTGGCAGTCGCAAGAGCTCTATACTCTGCCTCAATACTAGAGCGTGACATTGCTCGTTGCTTACATAATGCCCATGAAATGAGATTAAATCCCAAAATGATAGCAAACCCAGTAGTAGATTTTCGATCATTTACATCACCTCCCCAGTGTGAATCAGTGTACCCATGCAGCAAGGTGGATGTGCCTTGAGCAAAAAACAAGCCATGAGATGGAGTTGCCTTAATGTATCGTAGAATACGTTTGACAACAGTCCAGTGAATATCCATAGGGCAATGCATGAATTGAGAAACCTTGTTAATTGCGAATGCTATATCAGGCCGAGTAAAGCTCAAGTATTGCAATTCACCTACAACACTCCGATACAAGGTGGAATCATTGAATTGACTACCTTCAGTGGAAGAAAGTTTGGTTGAAGGAGAAGCTGGAGTGGAAACGTTGCTACAGGAATCCATCTGAACACATTTCAAGAGATCACCCATATATTTCCCTTGTTGCAAATACAACCCAGCACTCGTCCAATGCGCCTCAATGCCCAAAACGTATGAGAGTTTCCCCAAGTCACGAACCACAAACTTATTCTGTAGTTGAGTACGAGAGACTGTACAAAAGTAGAGTCAAATCCCATTACTAAGTTATCATCAACATAGATTAGAGTTTTCTTTCACCAGCACACTTAAAAAACAATGAACTATCAGTTTTGGATCCCAAGAATCCCAGTGAAAGTAAGGCATCAATGAGGCATTTATTCCATATTCGGGAAGCTTGTTTCAGGCCATAAAGATGATGTTTGAGAAGACATACATGGTCTGGTCGAGTAGGATCACCAAAACCCGAGGGCTAAGACATATATACTACTTCATCGAGATGACCATGAAGAAATGCATTTGAGACATCTAGTTGGGTGATATGCCATTGATGAGACACTGCTAATGAAAGTAATAACCGAATAGTCGTCGGTTTGATAACTGGGCTAAATGTATCAACAAAATCTTCTCCCGGACGTTGGTGGTATCCCTTAGTGTAATGACCCGGCCGGTTGTTTCGAGTATTACAGCCTTGTTCCCTCATTTACTACTTAATTTATGCATTACAGTTGTTATGTGACTTGTTGGGGTGATTGATTCGGGTCCGGTGAGGTTTTGGAATGGATTGGAGAACTTAGTTCCAAAATTTAAAGCTTAAGTTAAAATAGTGATCGGATATCGACTTATGTGTAAATGGCCATGGAATAAAGTTTTTATGATTCCAATAGCTCTTTATGGTGATTTTGGACTTAGGAGCGTGTCCGAAAAATTATTTGGAAGCCCATAGCTAAATTAGGCTTGAAATGGCTAAAATAGAATTTTAAGTTTGGAAGTTTGACCGGGGAGTGACTTTTTGATATCGGAGTCGAAATCTAATTTTGAAAATTTTCATAGCTCCGTTATGTCATTTATGACTTATGTACAAAATTTGAGGTCAATCGAAATTGAATTAATAGGTTTTGGCATCGAATATAGAAGTTGGAATTCGTTAGTTTTGTTTAGCTTGAATTGGTTGGTGATTTGTAATTTTAGCGTTGCTTGACGTGATTTGATGTTTTGATTAAGTTCGTATGATGTTTTAGGAATTGTTTGTGTATTTGATTGAGGTCCCGGAGGTCTCAGGTGAGTTTCAGATGGTTAACAAATCGAAATTTGGACTTAAATAACTGCTGGAATTTTCTGAGGCCTGTATCTGGTTTCCTCCATCGCGTTCACAAGGGGAGTCTCGCGTTTGCGAAGAAGAAATTTGGACTGGCCCATTTTGTGCTTCGCTTTCGCTACTAAGGGCACGCGTTCGCGATCGAGGTCTCGTGTTCGCTAAAAGGAAAGCCGGTCTGGGGAAAATTGGTCTTCGCATTCGCGAGACCAAGCTCGCGTTTGCGAAGGAGGAAATTTGGTCAGCACAATTTTGTGCTTCGCGAATGCGAGGAAGCTTCCGCGTTCGCGAAGAAGAAACGCCTGGATAGAAACGTTAAGTTCTGAAAATGGGACTTTGTCCTATTTTTCATTTTTGACAAATTGGAGCTCGGGAAAAGGCGATTTTCGGGAGATTTTCAAGGAAAATAATAGGATAAGTGTTCTTAACTCAATATTGGTTAAATTATCCGAATCCATGGTTGTTTTCAACATTTAATTGGTGAATTGAGTTGGAAAATTTAGAAAACTCTTTTGGTTTAATTTGAAGATTTGAGGGTCGAGTTAAGGTCGGAATTTGGTAAAGTTTGCGTGGTTGGACTCGAGGTTGAATGGGCATTCATATTTTGTAACTTTTGTCAGGTTTTGAGGTGTGGGCTCCACGTGCAATTTATGAGTTAAAATTTGGATATTTGTTGGAAAATTACTATTTTTCACATGGAATTAATTCCAATAATTTGCATTGGCTGAATCGAATTAATTGTGACTAGATTCGAGGCGTTCAGAGGCTGATTAGTGAGGCAAGGGTATAGTGAAATAAAGAATTATACGATTTGAGGTAAGTAACACTTCTAACCTTGGTTTTGAGAGTATGAAGCCCCGAATTTGGTGTTATATAAATTGTTTGGAGGCGACGCACACGATAGGTGACAAGCGTGTGGATGTGCACCATAAAAATTATGACTTGAATAAATCCTGTGAATTTGTAAAATTAAAGAATTTTTTTATTATTCGCATATCCTTCACGTGTTTGGAAATTCAACTGAGACTCGTATTAAAGATCATGATTTGGCTACGTGCTGATATTTTGGGACCCACAGGGTCGTGTTGTTGTTGATTTAATTGCTTTAAAAATGTATATTTCACAATCAGTCATGTTCATATATATGAGGATATTTATGGGATCAGGGCTGCCCGCCTGCAGCAGGCCATATCGGCTTTATATATATATTACTATTATATGGAACGGGACTGACCGCCTGAAGCATGCCTTATACGCTTTATCATTATATGGATCGGGGCTTCCGCCTGCAGTAGGCCATATCGGCTTCATATCACGCTTGGGCTGAAGGATCCTCTCCGGAGTCTGCACCCCGCACAGTGAGCGTAGATGATTTATATACGGAATGGACTTCCCAGGGCATGGACTTGCCTTGCTTATTTATATTTGTGATGAATTTCCCTGGACATGGATCTTGTCTGAACCATTTATATTTTGGGATAAATTATTCCAGG